TCTGGTTTTATATTAAAATCTTTGATTTATTTTGACGATTTTTTTCTCAGGGTATGTGATACAGACCTACTTTCTTCTATATATGATGATCTGTTTTTCCCAGCACCATCTGTTGAAGAGGCTATTTTTTTAGTCCAATGAATACTTTTGATAGTTTTATGAAAAATTAGGTGGCTGTAGCAGTGTGGATTTATTTCTGCATTTGCTTTTCTATTCCCTTGGTCTACACATATTTTCATGTGCCAGAACCATGCAGCTTTGACAATAGGGCTCTGTAGTATAAGTTGAGATCAGGTATTATATTTTTAGAACTGCTCTTTCTGGTTAGGATCGCTTTTGTTGGTTGGGTCTTTTGTGCCTCCATATGCATTTTAGTATTGGTTTTCCAGTTTTGTGAAGAGCAACATTGGAATTTTGGCGGCGATTACGTTGAGTGCATGGGTGGATTCTGGTAATATTGACAACTTTCTCATGGCATTAATTCTATCAGTTTATGAGCATAAGTGATGTGTCCAACTCCTGGTGTCTTCTTAAGTACCTTCAAGTTTTCACTGAACCTGTTTCTGACCTCTTTAGTCAGGCGAACTCTAAGTAGGTTCCCCTCACCTCCATGCCCAGTCTAATTGAGTGAGATTTTTTTTTTTACACTATTTCTTGTTAACTTTCTTAATTCTATAGAGAGTCTAGTACTTTTTAATGCTTATTTTGTATTCTGTTACATTGTTGAAAATGTTTTACTACTCAGAGTTTTCCGGCAATGTCTTCAGGGTCTTTTAAGCACAGGGTTAAGTAGTCTCTAAACAGGGATGATTTGATTCTTTCCTTTCCTATTTGTATCTCTTCTATTTGTTTCTTTTTCTTATTGCTTTATGTAAGACTTTGAGCACTGCACCGAATAAGAGTGGAGACACAAATGTAACCAACTGGGTCTCAGTAACGTGACTGAGTATCACTTACTGTCCTGCCGGGGATTCCTATCCCGGGTGGGCCTGTGTCCCCTGGGGAGCCGTGGATACCTGGCAGTCCTCTTTCACCCTGTGAAATCAAGTACTCCTGTTAGTATGAGGCTCAAGACATGTGCATTTTTCAGTTGCATTTTCTTAATTGTTAATTCTCTTAAAAATTAGCTATGAAATCTATATACCTTTGGTCCACGTGGACCAGGTGCTCCAGGATTTCCGTCTAATCCCTAAAAGGAAAAAAAAAAGTAAGATGATTACATTTCCTTTTTAAATAATTTTTAAAAATGTAGAAATCAAGCTACAAGCCATAGGATAATGTAATGGAATCCAGTTACTATGACAAAAGCTACTACCTGGAAGGGCAAGGACTTTTACAGAGGTCAAGCCATGGCTTAAGGAGTCTTGGTGATATTTTAGCTTTTGTATTTATGTTAGCTGGCTCCTGCAATGATTTTCTTGTATTCTATGTATGCTTCCAAGAACTCCTAACAGTGTATTTAATATGAAATACTTCTCAAGCATCCTAGGCCACAATGGCACACAGTCTCCTGAATTAAGGTAAACACCCTTCTGGAGACACCACTTGATGCTAGGTGCATAACTTTGTTTCTTGTGCAAATGAAGCTCAGACCCTCCTTCCTCTCACAGGCCAAGTGTCATTCCAGAGCATTTGACTCAGAACAAAAGGGTTTTTTTGTTTTTGTTTTTGTTTTTGTTTTTTTTTGCATACCAGGTGCAGTGAAGCATTTGAGGCAAGATTCAGGGCAGAGTTGCTCAGCCAGAGGAGAAAGCAGCAAGCATTTGTAGCTGGATGGAATTGGGTGAGGAGGGTAGGAGAGGAAGGAATGAAATGGATGAAGGATCAGAAGATGAAGATGAGGTCGAGAGCAAAAGAGAGAACAGGAAGAGAAAGGACAGAGAGGAGCTGAGTGTGAGAAAAGAAATGAAGCTGTGTAGAGAGAGAACTGACTCAGAAAAATAAAGTGTATGAACTACCCAGTTTTGTGTACATAAATTCACTTAATATTGTCAAAGATTGGATCATCAGCTGGTCATAGATTCTTCCCATGGTAAATAGCCCTGGTAAAGGGCTATTGAGAGGCTGGACTCCCCCATAGATTCCATTAAAGTCATAATTCAAAAACATGATTCATTATCCTTCATTTTACTGGAGTAAACCTCATATTAAGAACAGAAAGAAAATTTTAGACGGTTATAGATTTTCTATAATGAGCTCAAAATATAAGAGGTTTTATCTGTGAAATTAAACATCTAATCTTCAGAATTATCATCATTAATACTTGTTAAAAGGGGCAGGGGAATGGGCAAATCAAATGAGCATATTGGCTTTTGGGTTTCCTGGTGATACAGTTTCCCTTGTCTTGAGTACAGCATGGATCACACACACTTTCTATGAGTGATGGTCTGTGGTTATATCCTCAAATTCTGGAAGGGAAGTGTTGAGCATGTGCTTTAAGGCAGTATGCTAGGAAGGTCTGTGGCTTGCAGCCAGTGTTTAAAGATTCTTTGATCCCTAAGGAATCACGGCATAAGGTGCTGTGGCCTTTCAAACATCTCAGGTTATCTGTAAAATGTTGCCTGCTTGTGCATCTTCTGCAGCAGAGACCTCTTGGCTTCAACATTCAAATTATTTTAGCTTTATGAGCTGGGGTATAAGATGATTATTTCTTTTTTTTGGTATCTTGAAACTGTGAGCCCAGAATTAGCAGCAAATGAACAGTCAGGGACAATCCTAGTAAAGGGCAATACTTACTGGTTTTCCTGGGAGGCTTTTCCCTGGAGGCCCAGCATCACCCTTTGGACCTGGAAGTCCAGGAGGGCCTAGCCTTCCACCAGGATCTCCCTGTGGGAAACAAGATGAGATTCGTTCTTTCTCTGCTCAGGTTCAGGGCAGAAAGTTGGGAGACAGCAGTTTCCATTGCTTTATGTTGCCACAGCCAGTCAAACTTCATCCTTATGTCCACTTCTGTACTGAGACCCTCAAAAGCATTTACCAAGTGCCTAGCCCACTCTAGGACCTGCCCTTGTTATTTTAAATACATTCGGGCTCTGAAATGAATTCCGTTACATCAAGTTTAACAGTACCAGGAAACACAAACTTGTGCATAAACATGGGCACAAAGGGTGTGTCTATTCCTGAAGCTCTTTAAATGATCTCAATGCCCCTTTTTCGCTGGGGATGATGCAATATTGATATGCTACATTCACACACATCCAAACAGGTCTTAAAAGGCAGAGAGACTTCTGAGAATTCATAACTTGACCTCAGCCCTAACATCTTCATTTCCAAGCTATCTCATTTTGCCATCTGGAGTTTTGGTGCCATACCCATGGCTGCAATGATGTGTGACACCAGGGGCACCATATCATAGTTTATATGAATGTCAATCCCCTGCACTGACAGATCCTGGGAGGCTCAAGCCCTCTGCTAATCTTTTGCTTCTCCGATGACTTTAGGATCCTTGGTTTCTTCTTCCTATTTTCTTACTTCCTATACAAAAATAAAGTCTAAACTGTACCTTCTCTCCTTTAATGCCTTGTTTCCCTGGGATACCATGTTCTCCTGGCAATCCCTAGAAAATACAGAATTAAAGAAAATGAGCAGTTAGGACATCTCCTAATGTAATAACAGTCTACCTTTGTAAGAGGACTGAATTTTGACATCTATCTAAAAAGTAATGTTGATTTTGGCCTAAGGAGAAATGTTATCTGAAGATATGTGACTTGTTGTCTCAAGCGAAGTCAATGGTTATAGTGGGAAACAGAAAAGAACTGGAATGTTCCACCCATGCAGTTGCTAAGAGGAGGAGGGAGGGGGGTGGTTGGTGGTATCACAATCCAACTTAAGAAGTCAAGACATTTTATGTTTAGCTACAGTGGCTCTTTTCCTTTTGATTTTATTCTTTTTTTGTTGTTGTTGTTGTTCCTAGGAGTGATAGCTCAGTCTAACCAGAGGATTTTGTGGTTAATCTTGTGTTATTGCCAGAATTTTCTCTCTCTTTCTTTTTTATGATGTCCTTCCATGAGGTATCACCAAAGTGGTATAATAATTGGCCTGAAGGAGGAATAAAAAAACTGTTTCTAGGCTGGTGGTGGTGCACACCTTTAGTCCCAGCACTCAGGAGGCAGAAGCAGGTAGATTTCTGAATTCAAGGCCTGCCTGGTCTACAGAGAGAGTTCCAGGACAGCCAGGGCTACACAGAGGAGCTCTGTCTCCAACAAACAAACAAAAACTTTTTCGTACAGCTTGGCTGTTCAAATTAAAAAGCACACTATGATGCTAAGCACTCTCTTCCAGGAGGTTCAGGAAGTGAGCATGAGCAGGGAAGAGGTCACGGACCCAAGATGGTGAAAGGAGGAGAGATCTCAAGTCTGCCCAGCTAGAGTCCCAGTCATGGGCAAAGTGTCACTGAGAGCTGTAGCCAGGAATTGTCTTCATTTTGATCTGGTAAGCTCTCAGTTGATGGTAAGCTCTCAGCTCACATGGGGAGGCTAGGAGATTATCCAAGGGGTAGAAATCTGGGGGAACAGATGAAATACTGCTTCCAAAGACTATGAGGGTGTGGAGGGTGTGTGTGTACGTGCCTGTGTGTGTGTGTTGTGTGTGTGTTGTGTGTGTGTGTGTGTGTGTGTGTGTGTGTGTGTGTGTGTAACCCATTTCAGTGACTGACTATCTTATAGCATATTGGAAATGCTTGCTGTCTTTCTTGATTTTTTTCTCTTATTTCTTTGGATATTTCTGGTTTCTTCTATTTTGCAGTAGTATTGACAATTGACAATTGAGTTAACTTGAGTTTCAAAGATTGGCTTTTTTTGGCTCCATTCCAAAGGACTTCCTAGTAGCACCCACCCCTCTATCAAAAGTGACTGATTTGGGTGGTGGCAGTGACCCATGTTTTTTGGAAATGTAGCATAATTCAGATCACTAGCTGAAGTTCTTTAAGACATGTCCTAATTTCAATTCCACTTCAAAATATTAAAGATATTATACATACGACATCTCCTGGTGGTCCTCTGGGCCCCATGGAACCTGCAGGTCCTTGCTGACCCTAAAATGGAAGATGACATATACTTTAACATTGCATAAAAGTAGATTGTATCTGCATGTTGGTGAAATACTCTGTGCCCTTTATAGGGAAGAGACGGACTTCTCAGCATCCCACCTTTTGTGTATAGCACTGACATGTGTTCTGAGCTTAGCAAGAAGGCTTTGAGATGTTTCATTTAATGGCCCTGCTTTTATCAGCAGATAACTGGGTAACTGGCCTGATGCACTCACTTCCTGGAAGCATTCCCTGAGAGTCTCTCTCACACCTCCCCCAACTGCTTTTTCTTGAGACACTCTTGGAGAATTCCCTCTGGGAAACTCAAGTATCTCAGGGATGCATAATTTTAGTGTAGAAACAGATCCTGAATCCTTTTCCTGCTAAGAATGTGGCACAGGGTCATAGATTTAACTGACATTGTTTACTCTGAAAGCTTTTATGGATGCTATTGTGAATTTGCTCTGAAACACAATTTTAAAATCCTTCTGTATACCAAAAAGCTCAGCTTCTGTGTTTGTAATAAATGCAGCCAGTGGTGATGGTGGTGGTGGTGGTGGTGGTGGGGTCACCATGGAAACAAGATAAAAATCTCTGAGAACATCTGTGAAGAAAATGAGTGGTACACCAAAGCCTTTTTGAATACAGGATGGCTGTAATTCCCACATTATTTCCCAACAGTGACTTTTTATACACCTTAACATATGAAGTGCATACCTTGAGCCCTGGGCTTCCTGTTAAACCAGGGGGACCAGCATCTCCAGGTTCCCCCTAAATGCATGAATGGAAAGGAAAGTTAAATGTCACTATTATTTTCACCATCTCATTAAGGTTGCAATGGTGACTGAAAAAAGTGCCAGGGGAATTACCTTTATGCCTTGTGGTCCAAATAGACCGGGTTCTCCCTGTAAATAAAACAGTTGCGACATGGTTCATTCCTGAATCCAGATGGGGTCAGACATCTTGATACTTTAATTGACTCTCTACTAGTTAGCACACAACAAAGGTGGACATTATGGAAGCTGTGCAGTCGAGCAATGCTCACCCTAAAACAAGATTCAGAATCCTTATTGCTAATAAGTAACAAAACTCCCCATTTAATTTCACTTGTGACATCATGTGTAGTGGTTTTAATGTATTTGGCCCCCATAAGCTCATAGAGAATGGCACTATTAGGAAGTGTGGTCTTTTTGGAGGAGGCTGGATGACATAGTCCTTTAATCTAGACCTTGAACCTGGAGGGCACATCTTTAATCTGGGCCACACCTTCTGTTGGAAGCGTGTCACTGTTGGGAGTGGGCTTTGAGGTCTTTTTTTCCCAAGTGTCACTCAGTATGACAGTCAGTAGACTTCCTGTTGCCTCTGAGGCAAGATGTAGGATTCTTAGTTGCAGCACCACATCTGCCTGCATGCCGCCACCATGCTCCCCACCATGATGGCCTAAACTTCTGAACTGTAGGTGAGCCCCCTCAATTAAATGTTTTCTTTGTAAGAATTGTGTTGGTCATGGTGTCTCCTCACAGCAATAGTAAACCCTAACTAGGATGTCACGGGGCATTAGCAATGACTCATTCACCACCAAATGATGGCCAGATGAGAGGCGGGATAGAATAGGCTAAGTTCAAAGAGGTGTGTGCTGGTGACTCTGCTCCCAGGTGCTTAATAAAAACAGAAAAGTGATTACATAAAATAGCACAATATTTTCTTATTTTCCATGACTTACTTGAAAGTACAATTTGTGTCTTTAACAAACTCTTTGGAAATCTGTATTGCCTATTTTAGTTTTCTAGTTTAGATCCATTTCTCCTTCTCTTCTTCTTTTTCCTCCTCCTTTTCCTCCTCCTCTTTCTTCTCCTTCTCCTTCTTCCTCTTCTTTTTCTTTTCTGAGACAGGTTTTCTTTGTGCAGCCCTGGCTGTTCTGGAACTCACTCTATAGACCAGGCTGGCCTTGAATTCAGAAATCACCTGCTTCTGCCTCCTAAGTGCTGGGATTAAAGGTGTGTGCACCACCACCATCTGATAGTTTAGATATTCTTACTGGATGACTTTTTTTGACGTTGGGGCCTAACCACTAGTAGCAATAGGCTAAAGAAAACCTGAATAGGGCAGGTGAGATGACTCCGAGAGTTCAGGCAGTTGCTGCTGACCCTGAAGACATGAGTTCAGTCCTTAGGACCTTCATGGAGAGAACAGGCTCCCACAAGATGTCTTCTGACCATCATATACACACCAAGGCATGCATACAAAATATGGCATACACACACCACGCCCCAAATAAATGTAAAATAAAAATACACACGTTACGGTGGCAGTACCACAAGATGGCATTTACCAAGGATTACAGATGGCAGTGAAAACATCAGAGGAAAGTACAAGTTTCAGGAAGCTTACTCTATCAAATCTATTAGATATCAAACAAACTGGAGAGAGAATCAATAAAATAGAAAACCCAAGACAGCCTTAAACATCTACTTACCCTATCTCCCTTTTCACCTTTTGTTAAAGGCTCCCCCTAGGAAAACGGGTAGAAACCAGAATCAATTATAAACCCTTAGAAATCAACTCTGACCGGGGTAAGTGAGAATGAATGTACAGATTCCTTCGTATTCCCAAATGAGCACTGAGTTAATCATCTTAATACTACTTAGAGGCTCCCAACAGCAGTCAAATTGAAACAAAGCCCAAGGCTAAAGCTTCCTGTTATGAAATGAAGATGAATACACACGCATCCATCTGCAGTTGGAGGGCGATGGGTATGGGTAAGTGTTAAACGGCCGGAATTCCCTTGATTTTCCCACCCAGGTTAACTGTGCATTTCAACACACGGAAGCATTAATTCAAGGATGCTCTTTAGAGAGTCAGTTATGCTGTAATCAAAATGACCTGAAGTGGGTGGAGCTGACGGTGGTTGTTATTGGGGTTAGGATAAGGTCCCCTGGGGAGAGAGATTTGAAGCATCACCCCCACTTCTGATACTCTCCTTGCTGTCACTGTTACCAACCTTCTGGTTTTACACACACACACACACACACACACACACACACACACACACACACACACCATAGTTAATCCTCAGGGATCAATGAGAAGTTGCTATTATTATAGCTATATACAGTTGAAGAAACTGAGGCATAGAAAAACAAAATAATTTCTCCAAGCTTATAAAACACAGGCAGCCTGATTTTAAGGGCGGTCTTTCCTTTTTCTGTCAGCCTGCTTTGGTTTTAAAAATCAGATGTATTTATTATTTGAATTGAGTAAGTGACCAATAAGATGGAATCTATAAACTTTAAAAAGCTCTTTCACAAATGAAAATCACGAAAAATTTAAGAAGCATCATGGTGGGACCTTATTTTGGGACTGCTTTTCTCTTGAATATCTCACTCCTGGAGGACAAGTGATTATTGAATATCCGTCTTTGATTTTCACATGTCCGATGTCCTGTGCTAGGCACGGTGGGCTCTGGATCACCTTCTCTGACATTTTCTAGCTCCTTTGCAATTTTATTGGAATGTGTGTCTAATTCTGGCAATGACTTCTAATCCAAGATGACATGAGCTGCCTTCAAGTGAGAGGTAGTGAGAACCCCCTCACAATTCTTCAGACTCATTTCCTCTTTAGAGGTGCCTAAGAAGTCTGCATGTGCCCAAAGATGAAGGCGTAGGATTTGAATCAGCTTGGTGGCTGAGTGTGGTCACAAGCAAACGACCGCCTCTTCCAAATGAAGCAAGCTTCTCTCTAGCGTGAGCTGGGGCTAACTTTTCTCAGGCTGATGCCACATGTCTGTTACTTGGTGTAACCACACAAACTGCTTATTTACCTAACACGATGTCGTCTTTTATTATGGGTTAAGTTTTACACGTTAGATCAGGGCCTTGTTTGTAGTCTTGTTTTTCATATTTTCATTCTGACATTATGTATTTAATACTCAGGTTTCAGGCATGTGCAGTGGGCTGGCTTTTTATGCGTTCATTCTGACATTATGTATTTAACTACTCGGGTTTCAGGCATGTGCGGTGGGCTGGCTACACTGCTTCTGCCTCTGCTTGCTCCTACTTACGTCATAGCACTCTTATTAGAGTCACTGCAAGACTGATTTCTGAACTGAATCCCCCATTCCCTGGGGATTAGTTAAGTGAGCCAGTGCTTTAACGTGGAGCTGTGTCCTCAGGCATCTCATGTGACTTTTTAGTTTTGAGATTAGTTTCCACCAAGTTGCCCAGTTTGGACTTGAACTCACTCTGTATTCTAGGATAGCTTTGAACTTGTGATCCTCCTGCCTTATCCCCACTGAAGAGCTGGGATTCCAGGCCTGTGCTGCCAAGCCTGGTTCAAAGCCTACATTGACTGATGTAGTTTGTAGGAATCTGGTTGACCTCCGGTTTGTAATTCAGTCTTCTCTCTCCTGAATCCTACCTGGGGTTAGCCATTGGAAGTTTTTGAGCCCCCCTTTCCTTATAAAATTGTGGATTCTAACTTGATCCTTTTGTACACATGGTTTATAACTCCGATATGTTGCACATATTCTAAATGCCCAATAGTGGGAGGCATGTGGCCATTTTGATGTTGCCGTTCACGACAGTTCAAAATTCTACTTTAGATGGTGACTACTCTTTCTCTCTGAGCTACCTGGTTATTATGCAGGGTCTGGTCTAGATCTTGCTCTTGAACAAAAAGGTTGAAACAACAAAGAACTAACCGTTCTGCCTAATAATGTAAAACTTGTGGGAAGACAGGAAGACAAGCAAAACTGCTTATAGAGGAAGCAGAGTAATCAAGGTTTTAAGGGGATTGGTCAGGACAGAAGTTAGGGGGAAAAGAAGTTTACTTACTTTTTAAAAAATATTCATTTTTATTTTTTGTGTATGGTTGTTTTGCCTGCATGGGTGTCTGTGCACCATGTGTGTGCCTGGTGCCCACAGTGGTCATCAAACAATACCAGATCCCCTGGATCTGGTAGGGTGAGATGGTTGTGAGCCACTATGTGGGTGCTGAGAATTGAACCCTGGTCCTTTGAAAGAGCAGCCAGTGCTTAGAACCACTGAGTCATTTCTCCAGTCCAAGAAGTTTATGTCTACTGAATAAAAAGGACAGGGCTAACTAACACTGGCCCACATGGGCAGCCAGGCTTCCCATGAACACTGAAGGCAGGGGAAAAAGCCAGAGGGAATCCTTAAGAAGATAAAGGCCTCTCACCCCTAGGAACCATGCATTCCTCCACCCCTCAGTGATGCTGGAGCAACAGCACTGGTGGCGCTTGTGGGAAATGTAGGCTTCCGGGCTCCACCCACAACTCCTGAGTTAGGACCCTCGGGCTTTGAGTCCACACTCACGTTTACAGAGAAAGCACAGCTGTTGCTCACAGAAAATTCTTTTCTGCTTTGTGTCCTACTCGTCAGATCCTCCACGGTCTACCCAGGAGCTTACAATTGAGGTCGGCAATCACTGGGTCGGGAGACAGTGGAGAGCCCGAGGAGAGGTTAGGAGATGCTCTGAGCGGTGAGCTGGGGGAAGAGTCACATGATAGTTCCCAGACCCTTTGGAATCCTCAGCTGGAGGACACTGTTAGAGGCTGTTAGGGAGCGACCAGAAGGTCAATAATCAGGGTCCACAGGCGCCGTGGTGATTTCAAAGCCGCCAGAATCAATTACTAGGACTACTGAAAATGTCTAAGCAAAACTGTGCAGAGGTGAAGCTTGGCTTGGTGGCATGGAGTGCTTTTCCTATTGCTTCTCTTTGTCACGCAGGCATTTTTAGTGATTTCTCCATTCCTCACGTCCAATCAACCCACATCCCTAACTCACTCTGGAACATGGGTGAAGCAATTTAAGAAGATGTGCTACACATAACAAAAAAGGCGAGACGTATGCTAATCCTGATTTTTGCCCAAGACTGAAGACCTGGGTTTGTTTTGTAGAACTCACGTCAAAGCAGGGTGATGGCAGTGCATGCTTGCCAACCCAGGGCTAAGGAGGCACAGGATTCCAGGACGTTGTTGGCTAGCCAGGCTTGCCAAAGTGTTGAGTTCCAGGTTCAAGAACACACACACACCATATACACAATACACATATTCTCTCTCTCTCTCTCTCTCTCTCTCTCTCTCTCTCTCTCTCTCTCTCTCTCTCACACACACACACACACACACACACACATACACGCACACACAAACACACACAGAATGTTCAAACTCTCTTTTTTTTGTAACTAGGCTTTTGTAATTTCTTCAGTGGTCCTATTTGAATATAAATGAAGTGATAGGGTTTTTCTTTTCTTTTCTTTCTTTTTTTTTCTCACTCAAAGAAAAGTTTTTTAAAGAAACCAGCCACAGCAATATTGGAAGGTGGCTTGTGAAGTCACTTTGATCTCATAAAAAAGCTAGAAAGGAAAATAATTTCAGAGGTGTACTGAGAGCAATTGTTTGAGCAGAGAGAGAAGCATTTTCAATTTTTAAGATAAATTTGTACCAGTCTTGATATATTGATTGGGTTTCTCATTTTAGATATGGTGTTCAGTCCTGTCCAGGCAACTTAAGCGGTTTGAAAGCCTGGGTTCTGGAACCATCCTAACCTATGTATAGAATGGGCTACCTCTCAAGGGACTTTTGAGTGAGTTAAGTGAGTTAATATATAGAAGTTTTGGTGCCTGGCATGGTGTGTACTTGCTTCAGAATCTGATCTACAGTGCTGTTCAGAGTGTTAAAATTAAAGAGCCATTTGGGGGTGGTTTGGGAAAATACTTTTAATTCTTCATCTATTTTTTTCTTTCTCCCCCTGCCCTCAAAGATAAAATACTTACGGGTTCTCCTTTTTGCCCTTTAGGGCCAACAGACCCTGGAAATCCTGGCAGCCCAGAGTCACCCTGTTGAGAAAAAAGCAGAAGAGAGAGTCCGCATGAGTGAAGGAAGAGAAACATTTTCTTCACCCACAGAATCCTACCTGGGTCCAGGGCTTCAGTGAGGCTCTGAACTTAATCAGCCTGTCTGCCTAGTAAGGTGTCTTTGCACTCTTCCATGCCTGAGGTCTTTTAGAAATCCATAACATTTCATTAGGACATTTAAAATTAATGTGGGACGATGTTAATTATTTTTCAAGGACGGGACATGTAGAGGAGAAAAAGAATTACAGTTTTGTTCTGGCGCACCAAAAACATTATTTATTTTTGCATTTAAATGACACAACAGTCTGCTCTTGTTTTCTTTTAAGGACTTATTTCTTATTTTAGGTGGGAGGAATCAGTGATCACAGAAAGGAAAATGAGTCTTCCAGCTGTCCCCAGCGTTTCCCCGGGCTGTGTAGATGATTGGCTGTGGACAGAAATCATTCTTGTTGATATGGTGACAGCAGCAGCTTAGAAATGTCTAAGATGTCCTGGTCAAAAATGTTGAAGAAGGATTTGTATGTGACATAGAAAGTGTTTTCAGAGACTATAGTTGGAGGGAGCATCCTTGTCGGCAGGAATTACATCACTGAGCAGTCGACAGAGCTGCAGCATCCAACTGCGGTTTATCGTTTACCAGCATCCCTGAACAGCAACTTGATTCTTACGTTACACACAGCCCTAGATGACATACCATTCTGAAAAGTTTTCCTCCAACCTCAAGTGAATTTTTGTAAAGCAATGTTTATTGTTGTATTTGTGGGTATATAGCTTTCTCTTTTTTTTAACCTTCAAAGATACAGAAAACAAAGGAGAATATGTCAAACCTTTTACTATTAAATGAAGAAATTTAAGAAAATTATGGACAAGAAATTCTCCACATTTCCTTTTGTCTTCTTATCCCAGAGTAAACTACTCTCTTGAACTCAGTATTTACCTTTCAGTTGATATTTTCTATTTTTACTCTCTCTATAGAGTCATAATATATTTTTTTGAACATGTAGGATGAATTCCATAGAGATTTATCTTGTATACAACTTTCTTCCCTCAGCATTGTTTTTAAGACCTGTCATTTGATCCATGTGACTTCGTTCATTCATTGTAACTGCTGGTTAGCACTCTAATGTACTGAGTGAGGCACTGAGGGCGATCCCAGCCCCACTGACCAGCGATGGAGCTATCTCTAGCTTTTGCCTGTTACAAACAAGTCTTCAGTGAATGATTTCAGTATGATAATGTGACTATGTCTTTGCTAAAAAAAAAAAAAATCTTCAAACAATAGCCCATTGAATTGTTACAGTCCTAAAGTCTTTGGCTTATTTATACATTTCTACCAATCAATATTTTGGCATTTTATGTAATGGATGGACATGATCATTTTTGTATTAACTATTGTTCTTGATTTATACATATAATCTTGATTTTATTAAAAAAATTAAGCCACAGTACTAATTTTTCATGCTTCAAAGCTTTAGCAGGTCATGTGAAAGTCCTGTCTGAGAAAGCCAAAACCACATCTCATTCAGTTGTGCTAGGGACTTCTAGACAGTCAATTCACAGGCCAATAGGTATGTAAATTTTATACCTGTGTGTTCTACAATTTGCTCATCTGCAGACTGATTGCATCATTTTTGTAATGTCCGTATATGATCTACATACATATTCCTGGCCTTTTCTCTAGGATATTTTTATAATGTCCATGTATGACCTATACATAACTAGCCTTTTCTCTGGGTTTTTTGGAGTTTTAATCTTAAAAATTAATAAGTTCTTTGAAGTAATGGCTATAAAATTCAGAGTATGCTAGATATTTATTTATTTATTTGTGTGTGTGTGTGTGTGTGTGTGTATGTGTGTGTGTCTGTTTGTCTTTATGTATATTATATGTGTGCAGGTACCTAAGGCCAGAAGAGGATGTCATATGCCTTGGAGCTAGAGTTTAGAGGCAGCTGTGAGCTCTCCATTGTGGGTGATGGAAACTAACCCTGAATCCTTAGTAGGGGTAGCACATGCTCTTAACTGTTGAGCCATCTTTCCAGCCCTGATATATGATTTACTCTAGTAAAACACATTTTGTATATCCCCAGCAGTACTTTATCACAATGTAGGTGGTATGTGTATTTCTAAAGATAGTAAATCGTGTTCAATGTAGGAAGATAGAGAAGGCAGTGAACAATTAAAGGCACCAATGCATAATTGGTTTGTAAAACTCTAAACTGACCTTCATGTCGCTCATCTGGTTTGTGCTAACATCCCTAGTATATAGCCATAAAGGAAGAATACAACTGGCAATTAGACTCATCTAATTTAACAGAAGTAAGGAAATGAAGAGGCTAGGAGTTACTTACACGCACACATCTGTCCAAAATAATAGAGGAAGAATGAAGGGGGGGGGGAGGAGGCTGTGGTGCTATGATGGTAAAGTGGTTTGAACTATGATGGAAAGTGTTTGAAATGAGGTAGGCCGAGCGCCAATGAAGAACATCAGAGGGACCGAACAAAGCCTGTGGCTTGCATTCCCTGGGTGAGTTCAGCCTTGGTTAAAATAGTAGGAACCCGTCCTGCATGTAAAATTATGCAAATGTTTATGCCTAATATTAGACACATATGGGTTCTTTTTCATGTTTAAAATGCATTGCAGTGACTCATCATGGTAGATAGGAGTTGAAAGATGGAGATGAATTTGCAGAGCATCAGAAGACCATCTTTCAGCCTGACAGTGTTGATGCTGTTTAGAAGGCCATGTGCTATGGAGCTTCCACCTGGTTCTCATAACATTCTGCTCCAGGAGAAACCTGATGTTTTCCAAGGAGTCCTTGCCCTACCACTTTGTCCCACAGTCTCTACAGCAGGAATTCTCACCGACCAATGTGCAAATACATGACTCTCCACCAAATCCACAAGCATAGGACAGTGAAGAGCAGGAGACAGACTTCAGTGCTGGAAGTCTGTTCATGTGCTTACGATGACTGCCATTGCCATCTACATCAATACTTAGTTGGATTCCATCAGTGGTTCCGAGTCTTAGTATTCTCAACATAAGATGTGCCTATTATGCTCGAAGTGATCTCTGTGCACATCCTAGGGCAATATGCGCTCACACTGTTGCTTCCAGGTGATGCTAGTTTCCAAATGATTTGCTGTTTTTCATAATTCTAAATTGCTGGTGAGGTATTAAGAAGTGGCATATTATACAGCAGCGATACATCATTCACATGTTGATGTACTAAAAGTATACTTTTAGTTAAATCTTATTTTACAACCCGACTTGAGTCTCCTCCCTTCAAAACTATGATGAGGGCTGCAAAGAGGAACAAGACAAGGCACTAAGGATGAAAATAGCTCATAGCAAAAATGAGCTAAATGAGACCTCATGAGCAGAAGGTACAAAGTGAAGAAGAAAAACGAATGTTCATTGAGAGCCCAATTTGTACTGAGAATTGGGCTTCCAGATCAGTCCATCTCATTAGATTTTAATCCTCCCATTAATTCTTCCTGTAGATGATTATGCCCACTGTGCACATGGGAGAACTGATGCTTAAGGCAATGAGGTGGTTTCCCAGGGTGATACAGCAGTTGACAGCATAGTCAACTTTTAGTTCCAAACCCCTCAGCGGTTCCCAGCCCCGACTGCACGTCAGAATCATCTCACACATGTTTAAGTAACAGATACTGGTCTCCCTCTACCCCGATTCCCTGTGCATGGTGCTTCAGAACAGGCCTTGTTCTTGTCCTTTCCTGGTGGTTCTATGGGCAGTCAGGGTTTGGGACCCCTGACCACATCACAAGCGTCAGCAGAGACCCACTAAGGAGTTTACATTTTCACTGTGAAAAACATCATTGTATAAAGCCAAGAGATGGCTCCAGACTAGACAGGAAGTGGATGTGCGTGTAGAGTTGACTTCCTTCTTCCAGCAGCTGCTGCACTGGCCTTCTGCCTTACACGGTCTATTGGCAGAGCTGCCTCTTCATTACTGGTAATTTAAAAAACCCTTTCCTAGGTACACTGATATCAGGCACAGCGTCGAGTTCCCCGGAGACTCTTCCAGATCATTTATTTGGGTAGGAAGATATAACAGATATGCCACCGGCTTTTTCTAACTCCACTTAAGATTCTGAAGCAATTAGAAAAGATTCCAAGCGGAAGGAATGATCCCTGGAGTTTGAGATACACCTGTTTTCCAGAATCGGATTTCTCATCAGCGAGGTCTTAAGAATTTCTAAGTGACATGTGTTTGCTAATGAAGAGGGCAACACAGAAGCCAGCTGTTTTGTTTCAAGAACTGAATCACCATTTAAATGCTTTAAGGGCGTCGTACCTCCCTTCCCCACTCAGCTGTCCCGTGTGACAAGCTTTGTGTCCCGCTGCCCCTGCAGCCTACATATGTCCAATCACAATTGCTTAAAATGCAATGCATTTGTCAGGCTGGGATGGCTCCACAAGCTGTTGGTTCACAGGAAATAGTGTTGTTCAAAAATCCAAGACACGGGAGTGACTTGGCTTGCTATAGAATCATTTTAAAACCACATTTTTTCAGAGCGTCCATGTTTTATTTATGTATTCTGCCGAATTTTCCTTTTGAATGGCCAGTCTATAAGGAACTCACTGTTCCTGCTGAGAGGATCTTTTAGGGATATTTTCTGGTGAGAGACACACAATCTTTTGAATAGATTGGCTGTGCTGATTTATAAAGCGCAGAAGTCATATTTCTTGGACTTGAGTCACAGTATCATGCCCTCAATCAGGAGAACTTTTACTGGGTGAATGAATGAAGGTAGTTCTCACAGGCCGTCTGCCTGCGGAGTATTTTCAAACCTTCATATTCCTGTCTGCAGATTTAATGTGCTTTTTTATTTTTTAAGTATTTTCTCTGACCATGCCACATTCACTGTGTTCACATTCACGGTCCAAGGTCATCACAGTTTTACAGTCAAACTGCAGCGGAGTGATATTTTCTGGAGAAAAGTTAATCTACCGTCTTCACAAATGATAAAACTGGACTTGCAAGTGAGGGTGATGAAAACGCAACGGAAGCACATTGGTGTTTTAACTTGAAAACTGTTTTTGAAATAATTGCTTGGCTAGACTCCTACTGGGCACGAAAAAACCTCACCAAAACAAAACAAAATAATCCCGCGACAGCTTCTGCTATAACAGAAAACCAGTGAGCTTGAGCCACAGGCATTTTGCCAGTTGGATCTTCCTTCGGATGGTTTTGGCTGTCTGCAAGGATTCCAGACCGTTCTTAAGGGTATTTCTCTTGACGAGTCTCCTCCCTTGTAGAACACCCCTGCTCAGTAGCGCCCCCAAGGGGCAGCATCCAGCTGCTGGTCAGCGCGCAGGTGAGGCACCTGCTCACAGTGACTGCTGCCCCCTGTAGGTAAAAGTGTTCAATCATTTTGGAAACAAAAACAAAAAACCGGTATTACCTTTTCTCCTTTAGGGCCACCAGCTCCGTGCTCACCAGTTCCCTGGGCAAAAACAACCAAAAAGTCCAGTTGTTTTTAATGCACCCAGTCTTTAAAAGCAGCTAGTCAAATGTTATAGTACTTTAGGCTTTATGGATTCTGTGACACTTGGGCAGACATTTTTTGTCTTTCTCACTTTATTCCTGTTAAGGTAATTAATATTTAATCTATTTAAATTAAATACCAGCTAAGTATCTCCAACGTTGGAGACCCCATTTGATCTTTTCTGGTCATCTCTCCAGGGGAAACATCACAACTCCAAGGGCGATGACTTCTCTTCTCCATGTGTGTACCCGCCAGATTCAGTTGCACTCCGACTCTCCTGCTCTTCCTACTCTCAAATATTTATTGCCTTAATTAGACTCTGGCCACCCTGGGAGGATGCATGTGCTTGTCATCATACAGAAAAAGCAAATACAAATTGCTAGGAAGCACTTCAGCCTCTGAATCCCCTGTGTGTTGAGATAGAGAGAGAGACTATTACTAAAGATTGGAAGAGGACAGGCAGGCTCTCATTAGTGAATTTCCACAACTTTGGTCCAGAAATCCTCCACAGAAAATCCTTACTCCCCTAAGCTGTAGCCTGACACCTCAGAACTGCAGCCAGCTCACCCCAGCCTCTGCCTAGTACCAAACATTGATCAGTCACGACTCCCCCATCTATATGGCGGGGACGGCAGAACTGAAGATGACATGTGCATGTGGCTCAGGCTAACCTCCCAGGTCCCAACACTCACCAGTTCCAACTGTCCCCATTTTGCAGAAGGAATTACATGCATAGTAGGTCACCCTACCAGGACCAGGACTTCCCCGAAGTGGAGTCCCTGCGTATCACCACCCTGGCAGCTACTGGCTCTTCTGTTACATGTCATGCTGGCTGCTCTTATTGTAGTTTAAGAAATAAATGTGTTTTTCTTCTTGTCTGGTTTAGAGTGAATTTGTCTATTGATCACCAATAAGCCCTGTGAGAGCCATGCCTCGGCCTTCTTAGGGAATTTTATCATTGCTGTTGGATGGAACTGGCCAATTATGTAAGCTGTAGCTCAAGTTGGCCAACTTCTTTAAATATTTCTTCTTGCCTTGGTCAGCCCATCTGTTCTATCTTTTGCAAATGCAACAGAAAACACAGTTACCCCAGGGACTTGCTTCCCATTCTTGGTCAGTTTTTTTTCAAAATCAAAATGGCCGTAATGTTCCCACCATCCCAGATAATTGACATAATAAAAACTTCAGACAAACTTCCTCTGACTCCAGCTTCCCTGCTCTTAGAGTGTATAATGTAGGAAACTTGTGCTCTCACGGTTTGAAGAATTCCTGTGGTACCGGGTTTACTGTACTCGATGAGTGGAACCTGAGCCGCCCTTGCCTCTCTCCGGGCTCCCTCTTCTATGTCTTCATCTCTGCCTCAGGCTTCTCTTCTCTTCCCCATCTAACTGTAGAAGGCTGGTCTTCCTTAGGAGTTGGTCAGGCTCTCTCCTCAGATAACTTGGAACTCACACTGCCCACCCTGTACCCTTCCTTGTCTAGCTCCATGGTTAGGGTATTGTTTAGACAAACACAAGTTTATATGCCTAGCATATCTCTTCCTTTCTCAGTTTTAGACTTATGTATCTAATTCTAGAAGCAATGCACACCCAACACATTAAAAGAGGAAATGAAAACACACATGTATGCATACATATGAGAGGAAAAGACGGGCTGACAAGAATGTTAACACTGATTAATCCAGAAGTAGGATGGCAACGGCTATCTTCATAATGTATTTCTGAAGGGTTTTAATTCTATTTTACAACTGAAAAATAATTAGGAAAGGAAATCTTCCCTTGTCCCTCTTGTCTACAGAAGCTAGCCCCTTCAATCTGGTATTGTCTTACACTCTGTCTCTGTGTCTCTCTGTCTTTGTCTCTGTCTTTCCCTCTTTGAGACAGGGTCTCATGTGGCTTATGCTGGCCTTAAACTTACCGTGTAGCCATGCCTGGCCATGAACTCCTGATTATCCTGTCTTTACCTCCCTAGTGCTAGGATTACAGGCACGGCCCACCATGCCTGCTGTACCATTTTCTTTTCTTGTCCCCGACATTCAATTGACCATCCAGTCTAGCCTCCCTTATGGACCCAGAAACAAACTTTAGAGATTTCCTGGAAAACACTAGTCACTTTGGCATGGTGCCACCTACTGTGCCTAAAACATCAGCATGTCCCCCAGCTGTACCTTTGCTTGGGTATTTTTAGGGATGCTGGAATGTGCTTTTGTCTAAGACATCACCTCTTTACACTTGGCCTTTGGAGTTTAAAGCTCTATGTGCTTGGACCACAGGGCAGAAGAGCATGGAGTATTTCTGGCGAGGGTACATCCTAGTGTATGCCAGCAAACTCCACGGCACCATAGCTGAGGTGGTTTGGATCTAACAATTTCTCTGTAGCCCCAAGACATACTGTTCTAATGGTATTCCCAAATTTTGATTTTCTGATGATTTTAGTCTAGAAAACCAACAAGGCAGTATATAGAACACAGCATACTTGTTTTACTCAGTAACCAGGTCAGGAAATCCAGTTAATCCCTGGTCCTAGGAGCTCCTGGTGCTATTCTCCATTCTTGGGCTAATAATACAGCTGTCTCGAACTTGACCTTCAGTAGCATTTACTCATTGACATGTAACATTCCCTTACCTCCTCTCTCCAAGCTAATGGCACCAGACAGTTACCCAGTTTTACAGGAATAATAAGAGACAAGTCTTCTAGCTTCTAGACCTGTAGTTCTGCTTTGTGGTCTCACAATTTTGACCCTATTTATTAACACTTCCTGAGATACAGTGTTAACAGTCATGCTATGTGGCTTGCTAATTTGTCTGCTCAGTGGAAGAATTCTGGATGTGAGCAGTGTCCCTTTGTTCCCATCTGGGAAATGGTACGCAGAACTTTGGAACCGTGATCAGGCAGTAGGAAGACTCAAGGCTGCTCTGATTCTTTCAAAGAGAGAATTTCTGGTAAGGATGCTCTGTGGTACACATGTATGGATTAAATGAAGGGAGGAGGTAGCCATTTTTTTTTTTTAAAGCTACCAAAGAGTAAACAGTCAGCAGTTTCCTGTGGCTAAACTAAAGAAAGAAGCCAAGGACATGAATTCCCTGCTAAAACACAGAGTCATCGCAACCCACTCAAGTCCTCAATGCTTTTAGGAATACACCGCAAGATCCTAGGCACGAGGAAAATAGAAGTTATTCATCGAGGACTGAGACTGTGAACCTGCTTCACTCATTCATATGTAGAATCCTGACTCCCAGGACTTCAGAATGTAAATTTAATTTGACAACATGGTGGCAGATGTAACTAGTTATGTGATAAAGATAACGTATACCTTAGTATGACCATGTCTTTATAAAAAGAGAACACAGAGGCATACATGAAGGAAGGTGTCACGTGGGCATGGGTGGGGAATCACTGGAAGCTTGGAGAAGAGCTTGTAATGCATTCCTCCCTAGAGCTCTCAGGGGGATCATAACCCTGCCATCAACTTTATCTTAGACTGCCACTCTCTAGAACAGAGAGATGGTAAATGTCTGTTGCCTGGGCTGCTCCATTTGTGATGCTACAGGAGTCAACCCCTAGGAAGTTCAGATGCAGTAGATGACCAACAGCACAGCACTCTCAGGGTTGAATGAATACGTAATGTTGGTTCAAAGTCCAACTTCTCAGTTGCGTTCAAAAAATTTTGCTGGCCACAAAAGGGATGGGAGGACACAGGTAATATTGCAGCCCTCTCTATAATCAAACCAAGTTACAAAAGTTCATTATGTCAGTGCCTAAGTCCTCAATGTTCCGTAAAGCCAGTGGTTCTTGGCCATGAAGAGGGAACGTTGGAGGAAGCCGTGTATTTAATCTTGACTGTCAACTTGTTGAGATTAAGAATCACCATGCAAATGAATCTCTGGGAATGTTGGGGTAATCTAGAGTAGGCAAATGGAGGTGGGAAGACCCAACCTGAATGTGGGTAATGCCATCCTGCAGGGCTGGGGTTCTAGACGGAACAGAAAGGAGAAAGTGGGCTGACCACCAGCAGTGATCTCTCGATGCTTCTTGAAGACTGTTGCAATGTGACCTGCTGCCTCAGGTTGTTGTTGCTATGACGTCCCTGTCATCTGACTATGAGCCACAGTAAACCTTTTTCTCCTTAACCGCTCCTCTCAGATATTTTTCTCACATTGACAAGTGACTAATTCAGGAGATTAGGACTTAAAGTTTAGTTTTTACATCTTCAGGGACCAGAAAAGTTGCCACCAAGGAAGCCTTTGCTTTGTGTATCCTTGTTGGATTTGTGCTTGAAAAGACCTTGAATGTCTGTCTTTGGACAAGAGTTTTCTGTCCTTTCTAGTCTGTGGACATCGGTGTGAAGTTATACTTTGATACATGGAAGGGAAATAGATTATTTGGCTATCATTTGTTTCGGATCAACTGTTTGGGAAAGTGAATAATTCCCCAAATTGGTTGCTGGGAGGCATTGCATCAATCTCCAACAGCTCGAACTGAGCCTCGTGATGGGAAAAGATGATATATATGACCGAGCATCTGCAATGTCCATCTTTAAAAACATGTGGGATGTACATCACACCAGCACTCAGTACTTAGTCTGCATAGACCACCCTTCATGTCCCTCTATGGAGCTCATGCCTTTAAAAGCCGGTGGGACCTATCTAATGTGCAGGAAAATCACCAGAGCTGAAGGCAATGAAGAATACTGTGGCTGGGCACTGAGCAGACTTTCCTTGGGGGAGAAGTGTGCGTGGAGTTGATGTTGCTCTGCAGAAAACCCAGCAGGATGAGAGCAGCTATCTGAAAATTATTTCTGTGATAGCGAGGGAAATGTATTCTCTTTTTAAACATTGCATATGAGAACACACATGTAATCTTACTGACTTCACTCTCCAGTGAATTGCTCTCATTTTCCTCTTTTCTTTTTTCTTCTATTTTTGATTTGTGCTACGAAGGGAGAGGTTTCTTATGCGCGTGTTTCTCCTCTGGGTGATACAGGGATATGCACAGGAATAGATCACTTCTGCTTGAGGACCAAAATGCAAGTGCAGACTGCTGGGATGAGGGGGGAACCATCAGTCTTTTAGTTTGGAGCAGGGAGGGGACATGTGTGAGGAGCATGCTTGCTACTCATCCTCCCATGGGTAGCTGCCTCAGCAGAATCTGGGATGCGCAAGGGCTGTAGCTGCTGCCAGAGGAAGAGCTGAGGTCCAGGGCTCTGTGCAGGCATCGCATAAATCAATGCCAATTGAAAAGGGAAGATTGTTTTAACCTTGGAGTGTCACTTTATATGTCTCAATACATGGTCCATTATTTAATCTCAGCTCCTCCCCCACTGTGCTCATTTGTCATAGCCAGACCATCAGGCATGCAACAAACTGCAAAATGCAACAACCTAACTATCCCAAACCAGATGAGGGTGTCAGGGGCAGTGCCAAGTGAAAAATGCACCTTGCTCATCACAGCACACTCGGCCCTTTGCTTTGTGAAGAAGAAATGGCCACAATACAAAAATATCATTCAGTGGGGCCTGGGGGTGGGCTTCCTTATTGATTCTCATGGGACCTTGGTGTAAGGAGCCTCATCCACTCTCCTAAGGAAACAGAATAAATTGTTTGGTAAGCTGTCTCCCATCAATCACTATAGACTTAAACACTTTTGATTCAAAATGGTCCTATGGGCTGGAGAGATGGCTCAGCTGTTAAAGGCTAGGCTCACAACCAAAAATATAAAATCAAAATGGTCCTATTGCATTATTTAGGTGAGAAATAAGCTTTGGTTCCTCTATTTACCCTATTATCTTCTGGCCCCAAAGCCACATCCTGTGCACATGTGAACTAAAGTGAAGCTCATTTCTGTATTAGCAATGATAACAACTGAGGTTCTTTTAGGAGAGACAATAGCTAAGTTCCAGGTATCCATGTGCAAGTCTCAAAACTCCCCACTCAGCTGCTGTGCTCAGTCCCCATTAAAGCAAGTATAACCTTCAAGTTTAAAAATTAACATCTCCAACTTCAGACTCTAAAATACAAAGGTTCCATATATTTTCATTTAAGGGAAAAATGACTCATCGGTAAGAAAAAGTATATATAGAAGTGGTGTTGGGAGACCTGTAAAGACATAAGCCTTGAAAGTTTTGCAAGGGTTAGCAAATATTTAAGTAGCTGAGCAGCAACTTGGTACATTTTGTTCTGATGGTGATAGGAATATAGTATAGTATTTCAACTTTTCTAGCTGACTTGTGACATCAGACCCAACTTATTCTCATTATTTTGAAGCTTTTATTGTAAGTCTTATTTTATAACAGTAGATGTCATTACAAATGTCCTTATACTGATTCAATTTAGATACCCTTTAAGTTTACATTTTTAAACTTGCCAACTTCTAATGTTTAAAAAAAGTTAGTATCAATTTATTTAAGATATTTAATAAAGAATCAGGAAACATTATAACCATCCTAACACAGCACTCCCTGGAAAATCTACACATATGAAAAGATTCAAGACATGACATTCATTCATGATCTTAAATTTATTAAGAGCAATGAAGTGTCTACATGTTTGATTTTAAATTTACCAATTATAGATTTTCTAGGCTTTTACACTGAATTTAATTTGACGAACAAAGAGCTGATATTTTAAATTAATCAATTTGTCCTTGAAAAGCACTAAAAATATGTTTTGGAGAACCAGTTATCTTCAAGACTTGGGTTGGGAGCTTGAGAGATGGCTTAGTAGTTAAGAGCACTAGCCGCTCTTGCAGAAGACCAGGGTTCAGTTCCCAGAACTCATACAGTGTGGCTCACAACCATTTGAAACTCTGGTTACAAGGTATCTGACACCTTCTTCTGGCCTATGTGGGCACCAGACATGCATTTTATATGCACACACATACACACACACACGCGCACATGCACACGCACACACACACAAGCATTCATAAAAGAAATATAAGTAAATCATAAGAAAAGACTTGGTTTGGAGCACCGATTGTTGGAATATGTGAACAAAGATGTGATGGGGGAATGTCTTTATGTATGCTGTGAAAATATGATGGTCTGATTGGTTGATAAATAAAGCCATTTGGCCTATGGCAAGGCAGCTTAGAAGCAGGCAGAAAATCCAAGATAGACAGGAAGAGAAAGGAGAGGAAAAAGTAGACGCCAGCCACCACCAAAGGAACAACATGCCAGCAGACTGGTAAGCCACAGCTACATGGCAACTTATAGATTAATAGAAACAGGCTAACTTAAGATGTAAGATCTAGATAGCAAGAAGCCTGCCATGGCCATAGTTTAAAAATAATATTAGCCTGTGTGTGTTTATTTGGGTCTGAGAGGACTGGCAGGTGAGAGAGATTTGTCTTGACCACAGGCCAGGTGGGACACAGAAAAACTTCAGCTATAAAGTTGCAATATTAGTTACAGAAATTTATAGGAAACAAACTCCAGACAACAAAACAAAAACACTTTTTCTGTGGTACAAGGTATCAATGATGAGCTGGTAGCTGCTGAAGGGACCCCAATTGCTGTCATTTGGGGCAATGAAGGACAAAATAGCACTCTATAGGTTTCCCAGTGTGATCAGACCCTATATGTAGTTCTTGAAGGATGAACCCACCAATGAGTTCATTCCTATCTCTGTGTGGTTATCACACCATTCTTTGGTATGATCAGGAGCTAGTCTTGCCATGCTGATACTTCCATGGGAATACTTTTTTATTCCAGCTGTGGTGAAAAAGATATCAAGGAAGTTACAAGCTCTTCCTATCCATCCCTGGGGAGGCTCTCACTCTTGATCTATGGGATGTGGACATGAGCCTGAGGCCTTGGTTTTGAAAAGTGCAGTTGTGGTGTGACCCAGAGCTTCATATAACAAATAATTTGTTTAGGCTCTTCATTATCAAACTTTGAACTATTGCTTTAAAGTTTATAAAAACAAACCCTTGGTTTATAATATCTTTAGGAACTTTTAAAAAATTCAAATTTGGAAACAAGGTATTCAGTATGGGAAGATTTTTGAGCATATGTCTTAAGGTCTGAGATGTTAGGTGCTGAGGGCTGTGGGAGTATACAGCAGGTGACAACTAGTGTTTGACAAGTTGACCCACCAGATCTATAACTCCCTGAGGGGGAGCCCCATCTGGCAAAGCCATGGGGTCACTGGCTGTGGAAACTGGTTGTTTTCTGTCTGTAACTTTCTCGGGTGCCACTGCTATGCCTCCTGATAAGACAGCTGTGGGGTGCTTTCCACAGCCATTTGGTAGTGTCTTTTACATCTTTGGGCACACTATAGATGTACATGGTCAGGTTATGATTTCTGTTTAAGCTGTATAATCCTGGTGTATAGAAATAATACCAGAATATTCTTTACTGACACAGGAAAGTAACTGTATTCTCAGTCAAAAAGACAGCCTTTTGCACATTTTGCAAAGACCTTAGAACTAGTCCAAAAACAGACTAAGCTGCCCCTACAGAATAGACACAAATACTAATTCCCAGGTGTTGTTCATTGCTAAATCAAGGCCAGGCTCTTTACACTAGATTGACTCCTTGCAGTAGCTTTCTTTCTGCATGTATCCTTTCTGCATGGCTCAAGGTTCAGCCAGTTGTTTAATGTCTGGGACTCCTCACCAATTTAGAGCTATGTGCGTGGGTCAATGTGACATTATTAGTCTAAGAGAAATAATGTGACTTATCCTGTGTCTTGAGAATGGGTAAAGCCCTGAAAACTTATAATTGTCTGAAGTTTGGCTGTGGAGCAGTGGTGGTGTGGAGAGAGACGACTGTGTAGAGCTATGTGAGAGTTGCTTTAGAATGTGAGTGAAGTGTGTGTGTGTGTGTGTGTGTGTGTGTGTGTGTGTGTACTGGGTGAGAGATGAAGAAGAAGCAGCATGAGAGAAGTATGAGGAAGTGAGTGGGTGAAAGAGTGAGTAAAAAGTGAGTGAATAATGTAGAAGTGTGTGTGTGTGAGTGAGTGCGTGTGTGTGAGAGAGCTGTGTGAACGAGCTGCTGCTACATGGAAGAGCTGTGCCTAGGAACTGTGTAAAGAGTTGTGTGGTGAGAGAACTTTGTAAATGAGATGTTTAGCTGTGGCTGTGTGGAGATTTGTAACTGTGTGGAGGCAAGGGAGATGAAGCTGTATAGAAAAGATACGTATGTAAAAGAAAGATGTATAGCCATGTGAAAAATGTATATATGTAAAGATATGTAGCTATATGTATAGAGTGTAGCAGTGTGAAGACAGAAAGAGTCAGAGAGCATTTTTAAGATGAAGTAAAAGAGAAAGTTAACATCAGAAAGCATGTGTGCTTCCTTATCTCACCAGTCATAGATAGATTAAAACTTATTCACAGTTACCCTCAGATAAAAAAAAAAAAGTCTATCCCTCAGATAGAAAAGAATTTTTCCTAAGCCCTCACCACTTTCGTGGATTTTCTTACATCACCCTGGAGGTGGCCTTGGAACAGGCTCTCCATAAGCCCACCAATAGTTAGGAATGAATAATACTTTTTTCCCCCTAAAGATATAACCACATAAAAATCTCTATGCACACAAGTTGTGGGACCAAAGAAGCTGTACCTTGTTGAAATATCCACCAAAAGTCTGTTGCAGTCCTTGTAACCCAGGAGGTCCCTGCATGAGAAAACAAAGACAAACACATTTTTTCAAAACAATGTGTGCTTTAAGTAATATACCCACAGTCTATTTTGTCAAATATTCTAATGATAAAAAATTTCATGGATATCAGCATATAATCAGATTCCTAAAGTTCTTTTCTTTTTCTAGGTTAAGTCTTAAAGGAACCAGAAGTACAGACGTAAGTGGCAACAGGAAACATTTACAAGTTTAACCATTATCAAGCTCTTTACTAAAAGGGATTCCACCCACCAGACTATTCCAGGAAGGACGTCAGGACTTAAGTTTATTTCTGTGCTTTTCACAGGTTGTGATGAGTGCTTTGTAGAAATGCATGCTACCACATATTGTTAATGTAAAATGTGGAGAAGCACGTTTTTTTCTATTGATTTACTCTTATGAATTGTTTGAAATGGGATACACATGGGTCCTAAAACAAGATACACATTTTAGACCAGCAACACACATGTAAAACCTCACTTTGAAGACAGTTATTATTGTCTTGGTACTATGTGCTTGGCATTATGTTCAGCTTGGGCTGGATAGAAAATAAGAAGTAAGACAGCCATCCATCTTTAGAGCTACCAGGAAGGGTGGTGGGAGATGAGTTCCTTAAGATTTGTAAGGGTTACATTTTTGGGAGAGAACATAAGAAACACCCAGTTTAGCATTACTTTATGTAGGAGATGCAGCCAATGTAGACTCAGCTATCTCAGACAGGAGAGGCATATACTTCATCTAGGCCTCAAAATCTAAGAGGAGAGAGAATACTATAGAGACAAAGTTCCCAGCGTTTTACCTAAGAAGGTAAATTAGATTATCAAACTAAAGATGCACAAAATTATTTCTAAAATGAGAACTTAAGTTTTGAAATGCGAAGAAAAATATTTTAAGGAACAATAGCTCGTCTATGTTCTGATTCAGGTTAACATCTTAGGAGTGTGGACATATTTAATGTTGGCTAACTTTTACACCAGATGTTTCCTATGAATGACTTGTGGTTGAAGATTATTTTAAAATGAAATCTTGGCATTGTGCCAGCAAACATAAAGGACTTGATGTTGGGGTGATGAATGCCTGGGAGCACCTTGTTGTGATACTTGAGACAGTAATGGGACCTGTAAGTGATGGAGCTTGCTGTGATCAGAAAGACAGACAATGCTGTTAGCTGGCTGAAATAAAAAAAAATGAGCTAATGTCAAAAAAGAATTCTCATGATATCATATACTTTTCTATCGTCCAGCCTTGTGTAAAATATTCTGAAATATATGATGAAATAAAGAGGAATGCAATCATTGAATTGAGGGTGGTTGTGGACTTTTTAGTCAAAACCATGCAAGTTAATAACTTATTCTTCAAACACAGGAGGCAAGATATTCCATACATATTGATCTTTCTGAAAGTATATATAAGGCAAGGAGGAATTTTGGACACCATGGGTGGTAGCATCAACATCAGTTAAAGCACTAAGGAGTCTAGGTGTCAAGTATTCAGTCTGTGTGTTCATGATAAGACCCTTTATATGCAATAACTGTGATAAAGTGAATTAATTTAGCTTCATATGCCTTCTTCCAAGTATGACCATTAATTATGATGGCTTCTAAGTACAGTAGAACAATTAAAAATATTGTCTCTTGAATAGAGTCTAAGGATCAATCAAATAATAGCATCCCAAATTTATATGGTGCTAATTGTGCTCCATTTATTATAGCAGAGTTCTGTATGGATTAACTCATTAAATCCTTGCAATGGCACCACAATGAATGTGCCATCACTACTTATGATTCGAAGATAAAGAAAGAGAAAGTATTGTTAATTGGCTCAAACTCAAATCACTGTCATCCAGGAGGGCTAAAATTAAAGTCATCTTTGACCTACTCTTACCTTTTTTTTTCTGTTTCAATTGATTCTTTGCACATAGTACCATGTTTCAGAAGAACAGCTTCTTTCAAGTATATCATGCACTTCGATCATATTTACGGTCCAGTATCCCAACCCCTCCACCTCACTCTGTCTCTCCCTGTTGGTCTTATCCTTGTACCTTCTGTTTTCATCGTGTGTGTGTGTGTGTGTGTGTGTGTGTGTGTGTGTGTGTGTGTGTGTATTTAAGCATCTATATAAAATCTAGGATCCAAAAATGAGAGAAATTATGTGATAATTGCTTTTCTGATTCTGACTTATTTTGCTTAAAATGATAATTTCAATTTGCATTCACTTTCTACTAAGTAACTAAATTTAATTCTTTATGGCTGAATAAAACTCCATCGTATACACATAAACATTTTCTTTCCTTTTTTATCTACTGATGGATATCAAGGAAGATTTCACAACTTGGCTGTTATGAATAGTGCTTTAATAAAAATGATATGCTAAAGTCTCTCTGTGACATATTAACTCAACATTTCTTTGGGTATTTGCCCATATGTGGTATAGCTGGGTTATAAGGCAGATAGAGTTTTACGTTTTGAGGAACCTCTGTAGTAATTTCCATAGTGGCTGGACTCACTCACATCCCAACTAGTACTGTACAGAAATTCCTTTCTTCATGTCTAGAATTTGCTGTCACTTCCTTTCTTAATTGTAGCCATTCTAATTTTGATAAAGTATAATCTCAATGTAGTTTTCATTTCCTCGATGACCAAGAATGTTGAACATATATTTCTTGTCAATTTGTGCTTCAATTTTTTAGGAAGTGGCCGCTCACTTCATTAGCTTGTTTATTGGTTGGGTTGGGTTGTTTGATTTTTTTTTTTTTGGTGTTGAATTTGTTGAGTTCTTTTCCTCCCATTCTGTAGGCTGCCTCTTCACTCTGTTCGCTGCTTCTTTTGATATACAAGGGCTTTTAGATTTTGAACATGGCTGTTGCTGGCACTACTTCCTGAGAAGCCTGTATCTCGATGTGTTTTCTCCTTGACTATTTCAGAGTTTAGGGTCTTACATTCATGTCTTTTAATTAGATATATTTGGATTTTTGTACAGGTTGTGAATGAGACAGAAATCTCTCCAGTTTCAATCTTTATATATGGATATCCAGTTTCTCCAATGCCATTAGTTGAAGAGACTGTCATTCCTTCAATGCGTGTTTTTGTCATGTGTGTCCAAAATTAGAAGTCTCTTTCTAGTCCATGACTCTATGTCTGCTTTTTCTTTTCTTTTGCTGATACTGTGTTGATTTGCTTTTTATTTAAAAAAATTTAAAATAATAAAGTTTATTTTCATACTATGTATTCTGATCACTGTTCCCCTCCCTTATCTCCTTCCAGATCCTCCCCACCTCTCTACCATTCTAAATCCATGCCTTCTTTTTTTGTTTAGAAAGCAGTATTCCATTGTGTATATGCACCACATTTTATTTATCCATTCTTCAGTTGAAGGGCATCTAGGTTGTTTCCAGGTTCTGGCTATTACAAACAATGCTGATATGAACATAGCTGAGCAAGTGCCCTTGTGGTATTATTGAGCATTCCTTGGGTATATGCCCAAGAGTGGTATAGCTGGGTCTTGGGGAAGATTGATTCCCAATTTTCTGAGAAAGCACCATATTGATTTCCAAAGTGGTTGTACAAGCTTGCATTTCCACCAGCAGTGGAGGAGAGTTCCCCTTTCTCCACATCCTCTCCAGCATAAGCTGTCTTCAGTGTTTTTGATCTTAGCCATTCTGACAGGTGTAAGGTGGTATCTCAGAGTCGTTTTGATTTGCATTTCCCTGATGATTAGGGAACCAGGTGCAGAGATCCATGGCCAGGCCCCAGGTGGAGCTCCTGGAGTCCAATTGGCAAGAAAGAGTAGGGTTTGTATGAGCAAGAATTTTTGAGACCAAGATTGGAAAAAGCACAGGGACAAATAGCCAAATGAATGGAAACACATGAACTATGAACCAATAGCTGAGGAGCCCCCAACTGGATCAGGCCCTCTGGATAAGTGAGACAGTTGATTAGCTTGATCTGTTTAGGAGGCATCCAGGAAGTGGGACCGGGACCTGTCCTCAGTGCATGAGCTGGCTGTTTGGAACCTGGGACTTATGGAGGGACACTTAGCTCAGCCTGGGAGGAGGGGACAGGACCTGCCTGAACTGAATCTACCAGGTTGAACTCAATCCCCAGGGGAGTCTTTGCCCTGGAGGAGATGGGAGTGGGGGGTAGGCTGGGGGGAAGGCGTGGGGGAGGGGGGGCGGGTGGGCGGGAGGGGAGAGGACAAGGGAATCCGTGGCTGATAAGTTAAAATTAAATTAAATTATAAAATAAAAAAATACAACAACAACAAAAAGACAGCAAATGGGCAAAGGAAAACAAAAATAAAAACAAAACAAAACCCAGAATAAAATCAACCAACTAAACAGACAACACCAACACCAAAACAAAGACAAGGCAGGAGAAACATATACACACATGCGAATAAAACCCCCAATCGGAAACCATAATATCCAAGCAAAAGATCAGTAAGGTAAAACATTCTCAAACAAAGCAATAGGAAACAAAAAACGTCTCCAAAACTATGAGTGAGCTTGTTTTGTGTTGTCCATCTACTGCTGGCCGTGGGGTCTTCCCTTAAGATGGTTTGCACACCCGGTGAAACTCCATTGGAGAACTCAGGCTATTTGCCAAGGCTCAGTTGCTCTCCACAAGCTGATGCTAAGGCCGTATTGCTGATGACCACATCTACATAATTCACTGAATGTGGAGAAGTTGATCTGGTGCCTTTGCCTCTACTAACCAGTGTTCGTGGTACTGGAAGGTACTGTGCACACTCTGAGTAGAAAGGTAAACACCAAATCATGTTGATTTTCTTGATATGGCTCTCTAGGTCTATGTAACTGACATGAAGCCAGATGATATGATACTTCTAGTTTTGCTCTTTCTTCTTCAGATTCCTTTGACTAATATTTTATGGCTCTATGTGAATTTTAGAATTTTTTTCTGTTTTTATTTCTCTGTAGAATGTTACTGGAATTTCAATAGGAATTTCATTCAGTGTGTAGATTATTTTTGGTAATATAG